CTGGTCTGGTCCTGGTCTCTGGTCCTGGTCTTGGTCTCTGGTCCTGGTTTAGTCCTGGTCTTAGTCTTGGTCTGGTTCTGGTCTGGTCTCTGGTCTTGGTCTTGGTCTTGGTCGGTCTTGGTCTTGGTCTGATCCTGGTCTTGGTCTTGGTCTTGGTCTGGTCCGGTCTTGGTCTGGTCCTGGTCCTGGTCCTGGTTTAGTCCTGGTCTTAGTCTTGGTCTGGTCCTGGTCTGGTCTCTGGTCTTGGTCTTGGTCTTGGTCTGGTCCTGGTCTTGGTCTTGGTCCTGGTCTCTGGTCCTTGGTCTTGGTCTGGTCTGGTCTCTTGGTCTCTGGTCTCTGGTCTGGTCTGGTCTCTGGTCTTGGTCTTCGGTCTTGGTCTGGTCCTGGTCCTGGTTTAGTCTTGGTCCTGGTCTCGGTCTCTGGTCCTGGTTTAGTCCCGGTCTAGTCCTGGTCTTGGACTCTCTCAGAGGACGCGCTCATCAGCCTAGCGGCAGTCCCAAGATGGCGGCCGGCGCTCTAATTGTGCCGTGTTTAATTAAAGCGTCGCAGATTAGAGGAATTATGTCTGAATTATGGAGAATTGTGTTTTAACGAGCGCTAACGAGGCCCTGATGAGGAGCCCGCAGAGACCCGCCGAGACCAGGACCCAGACCAAGACCGAGACCGAGACCGAGAAGAGACGGAGAGATAGAGAGAAGAGGAAGAGGAGGAGAGGAGGAAGAGGAGGAGGAGGAGGAGGAGGAGGAGGTCATGTGACTGGAGTTTGTTTGAAAGAGGAAAGTTTGTGTTTCACCCGGAAAGTTACTTTTACAGCAAATAAATACAATTACTGCTTTAGTTCTGGTTTAGTTCTGAATGTGTGTGTGTGTGTGTGTGTGTGTGTGTGTGTGTGTGTGTGTCTGTGTGTGTGTGTGTGTGTGTGTGTGTGTGTGTGTGTGTGTGTGTGTGTGTGTGTGTGTGTGTCTGTGTGTGTGTGTGTGTGTGTGTGTGTGTGTGTGTGTGTGTGTGTGTGTGTGTGTGTGTGTGTGTCTGTGTGTGTGTGTGTGTGTGTGCTGTGTGTGTGTGTGTGTGTGTGTGTGTCTGTGTGTGTGTGTGTGTGTGTGTGTGTGTGTGTGTGTGTGTGTGTGTGTGTGTCTGTGTGTGTGTGTGTGTCTGTGTGTGTGTGTGTCTGTGTGTGTGTGTGTGTGTGTGTGTGTGTGTGTGTGTGTGTGTGTGTGTGTGTGTGTGTGTGTGTGTGTGTGTGTGTGTGTGTGTGTGTGTGTGTGTGTGTGTGTGTGTCTGTGTGTGTGTGTGTGTCTGTGTGTGTGTGTGTGTGTGTGTGTCTGTGTGTGTGTGTCTGTGTGTGTGTCTGTGTGTGTGTGTGTGTGTGTGTGTGTGTGTGTCTGTGTGTGTGTGTGTGTGTGTCTGTGTGTGTGTGTGTGTGTGTGTCTGTGTGTGTGTGTGTGTGTGTGTGTGTGTGTGTGTGTGTGTGTGTGTGTGTCTGTGTGTGTGTGTGTGTGTGTGTGTGTGTGTGTGTGTGTGTGTGTGTGTGTGTGTGTGTGTGTGTGTGTGTGTGTGTGTGTGTGTGTGTGTGTGTGTGTGTGTGTGTGTGTGTGTGTGTGTGCTGTGTGTGTGTGTGTCTGTGTGTGTGTGTGTGTGTGTGTGTGTGTGTGTGTGTCTGTGTGTGTGTCTGTGTGTGTGTGTGTCTGTGTGTGTGTGCTGTGTGTGTGTGTGTGTGTGTGTGTGTGTGTGTGTGTGTGTGTGTGTGTGTGTGTGTCTGTGTGTGTCTGTGTGTGTGTGTGTGTGTGTGTGTGTGTCTGTGTGTGTGTGTGTGTGTGTGTCTGTGTGTGTGTGTGTGTGTGTGTGTGTGTGTGTGTGTGTGTGTGTGTGTGTGTGTGTGTGTGTGTGTGTGTGTGTGTGTGTGCTGTGTGTGTGTGTGTGTGTGTGTGTGTGTGTGTGTGTGTGTGTGTCTGTGTGTGTGTGTGTGTGTGTGTGTGTCTGTGTGTGTGTGTGTGTGTGTGTGTGTGTGTGTGTGTGTGTGTGTGTGTGTGTGTGTGTGTGTGTGTGTGTGTGTGTGTGTGTGTCTGTGTGTGTGTGTGTGTGTGTGTGTGTGTGTGTGTGTGTGTGTGTGTGTGTGTGTGTGTGTGTGTGTGTGTGTGTGTGTGTCTGTGTGTGTGTGTGTGTGTGTGTGTGTGTGTGTGTGTGTGTGTGTGTGTGTGTGTCTGTGTGTGTGTGTGTGTGTGTGTGTGTCTGTGTGTGTGTGTATGTGTGTGTGTCTGTGTGTGAGAATCAGAATCAAATTTATTTGTCATTTCAGTATAAAAAATACTCAGGTCCAGGTCAACAGCAGCACAGACAATAAGAACAAATAGTTACAATAAGAATAAATAGTTAAAAATATTGTATATCAACCCGCCCCCATTTTCTAAAGTGCGTCTCCAAGTCAGTGCTGTTTTCTAGTGTTTTTTCTGACAGAGTTAATCTGTCTCACGGCATCAGGATAAAAACTGTTCCGTAGTCTGGTGGTCCTGGCCTGTAGGTGGCGCAATCTTCTGCCTGATGGGAGAAATGTAAAAAGTCCATGTGCTGATGGTGGAGTCTCCATGATGCTGTGGCTTTTGTCCTGCACCTGCTGATGTAAATATCTTCAATGCATCGTAGGCTACAGCCGCAGACGCACCCGCAGCTCTAACTATCCTCCGCAGCTCTAACTATCCTCCGCAGCTCTAACTATCCTCCGCAGCTCTAACTATCCTCCGCAGCTCTAACTATCCTCCGCAGCTCTAACTCCCCTCCGCAGCTCTAACTATCCTCCGCAGCTCTAACTATCCTCCCGCAGCTCTAACTAGCAGCTCTAACTCCGCAGCTCTAACTATCCTCCGCAGCTCTAACTCCCCTCCGCAGCTCTAACTCTCTAGCTCTAACTATCCTCCTCTACGCAGCTCTAACTATCCTCCGCGGCTGCAGCTCTAACTATCCTCCGCAGCTCTAACTATCCTCCGCAGCTCTAGCTCTAACTATCCTCCGCAGCTCTAACTATCCTCCGCAGCTCTAACTATCCTCTAACGCAGCTCTAACTATCCTCCAGCTCTAACTATCCTCCGCAGCTCTAACTATCAGCTCTAACTATTCTCCTCCGCAGCTCTAACTAAGCTCTAATATCTGCCTAACTCTCCAGCTCTAACTCCCCTCCGCAGCTCTAACTATCCTCCGCAGCTCTAACTATCCTCCGCAGCTCTAACTATCCTCCGCAGCTCTAACTCCCCTCCGCAGCTCTAACTCCCCTCCGCAGCTCTAACTATCCTCGCAGCTCTAACTATCTATCCTCTCTAACTCCCCTCCGCAGCTCTAACTCCCCTCCGCAGCTCTAGCTCTAACTATCCTCCGCAGCTCTAACTATCTATCCTCCGCAGCTCTAACTAGCTCTAACTCCGCATCAGCTCTAACTATCCTCCGCAGCTCTAACTATCGCAGCTCTAACTATCCTCCGCAGCTCTAACTATCCCCGCAGCTCTAGCAGCTCTAACTATCCTCCGCAGCTCTAACTATCCTCCGCTCTAAATCATCCTCCGCAGCTCTAACTATCTCCTCTCTAACAGCTCTAACTATCCTCCGCAGCTCTAACTATCCTCTGCAGATCTTTCCTCTCTGCCCTTGGTGCTGCTGCTGAACCTCACAGTCATGTTGGAGGTGAGGATGTTCTCCACCTCACACCTGTAAAAGACCTTCAGGACAGAGGGACCCACACCTGCTTTTTTTAGGCGCCTAAGAAAGTCTAGGTGTTGGTGTCTCTTTTTCACAATGCAGCTGGTGTTATTAGACCAGCTGAGACTGTTCATGATCTGGACTCCCAGGTATTTAAGACAGGAAACAATCTCCACCGCACCGTATGTGTGTGTGTGTGTGTGTGTGTGTGTGTGTGTGTGTGTGTGTGTGTGTGTGTGTGTGTGTGTGTGTGTGTGTGTGTGTGTGTGTGTGTGTGTGCGTGCGTGTGTGTGTGTGCGTGCGTGTGCGTGTGTGTGTGTGTGTGTGTGTGTGTGTGTGTGTGTGTGTGTGTGTGTGTGTGTGTGTGTGTGTGTGTGTGTGTGTGTGTGTGTGTGTGTGTGTGTGTGTGTGTGTGTGTGTGTGTGTGTGTGTGTGTGTGTGTATGTGTGTGTGTGTGTGTGTGTGTGTGTGTGTGTGTGTGTGTGTGTGTGTGTGTGTGTGTGTGTGTGTGTGTGTGTGTGTGTGTGGTACGCGTCAGTCGCTCTGGTTTGACATTTAACTTGTAGGTGATTTTATATTAGTTTTCTTTTTTTATATATTTTGTATTTCACGTTGGGAGAAGAATTTCCAAGACACAGATGTGTTTTTCCCTGTGCTGCTCTGTTCTTCTGGCTCTTCCACCTCGTCCACTGTGTGACTGACGCCGCCAACGTGAACATGACGTTTCCATCGCTCTTACTGTCGCGTTCTGTTTGAGTTTCCGGCAATGAGTGGAATTACCAAAATAAATAAATAAATAAATAAATAAATGGGATGTAGCACAAAATGTGAAAACAGGAGAATACCGCCTTGTAATCCACTTATTTCAACAAAGTAACTGTAATCCAATTACCACTCATTAAAACAGTAACTGTAACTGAATACAGTTACTCATCATTTGTACTCTGATTACTCTGGTACATGTAATCTGTTACTCCACAACACTAGTGGTATTATAAAATATATAAATACTAATTAATATTCAAATATTGTACAATATACTAGACTGTTAAATTAATTAATCAAAATAATTAAAATGATTAATTAAAAATCCTTTTTGAATTAAAGTGCATGAAAATAACATTCAAATAGCACAGCAGCTTTGGATTTAAAGTGCTAAAGGCAGTTCAATCATTTAAGGCACAATGTAAAGCTAAGTGGACACTAAAAGACAATAAAAGTCATCATTTGATGGTGATTACATGTCAAATTGGACCACAATAGTGCAACAGAAATGATTAGAAATTTGGCATAAACAAGGCCGGAGGCGGCTAGGCTAAGCTAACCATACAAACAAACAGAGACTGGGCGGGGCTTAACAATCCCGTCAGATCGTCACTATACGGCTCGCTTGGGCGCTCAAAGGGCGATGGTTTTTGGCTCCTACAAGTTGACATTTAAACATTTAAAACGGTGAGTTTAGTAACTTGTCATCGCGGATTGAAGCTAATTGAGGCTTAAAAACAAACCTGTAGCTCGCGTTTGTTTATCTCTCTCGCGTCTGCCGCGCTTCCGGGTTTCGCGCTAATATAAGATCCTAATTGGGCGGCCGCGGTCACATGATCGGACGCACGCAAAGGGACGCAAACAGAGAGCAGGAGCGAGGCAAGAGAGTTTGTTGCTAAGGCGGTTTTGTCACCCGCGTTACACCATCATCACATTCTGGAATCTAAAATAGTTTTGGAGCCTGAGAAGCTGTCGCCGTAGCAACGTGATGTTCTAATGCCGCCCCTGGATCTCCATGGTGATAGAACTCTGCTTGATGACATCATCAGAGAAGCACGACGCTGCTTTAAAGTAAACTTTGAGTGACACAGTGAAATAAACACTAAAGTGACAGAATACTTTTATTAATACTTTTACTACTGCTACTTCAAAGCAGCGCTCTGCTTTATGACATCATCAGTAAAGGACAAGCACAAAGCACAAAGCAACTTACTGTTTTGAAGAAGATTATAAGTGTAACACAAAACAAACATTACAGACACAGAATACTGCCACTTCTACTGCGTGTACTACGACTACTGCGTGTACTACGACTACTGCGTGTACTGCTACTAGAGCTACTACTGCACGTTTACACTAGAGCTTTTCTCTCTCTACTGCATATTTGAACAGAAAAAATGCCCTGGTTTTTTTTTAGAAAATCCCGACCTAAGGTCAAACGCCAAATCTTAGAGGCTGAGAACCAGGAACTGCACGAGAGGATCCAGAACTTAGAACATAAGAACCAGCAACAAAACGAGAGGAACCGAAACTTAGAAAATCAGAACGAGCAACAAAACGAGAGGATCCAAAACTTAGAAAATCAGAACGAGCAACAAAACGAGAGGATCCAAAACTTAGAAAATCAGAACGAGCAACAAAACGAGAGGATCCAAAACTTAGAACATAAGAACCAGCAACAAAACGAGAGGAACCGAAACTTAGAAAATCAGAATCAGCAACAAAACGAGAGGATCCAAAACTTAGAAAATCAGAACGAGCAACAAAACGAGAGGATCCAAAACTTAGAACATAAGAACCAGCAACAAAACGAGAGGAACCGAAACTTAGAAAATCAGAATCAGCAACAAAACGAGAGGATCCAAAACTTAGAAAATCAGAACGAGCAACAAAACGAGAGGATCCAGAACTTAGAACATAAGAACCAGCAACAAAACGAGAGGAACCGAAACTTAGAAAATCAGAACGAGCAACAAAACGAGAGGATCCAAAACTTAGAAAATCAGAACGAGCAACAAAACGAGAGGAACCGAAACTTAGAAAATCAGAACGAGCAACAAAACGAGAGGAACCGAAACTTAGAAAATCAGAACGAGCAACAAAACGAGAGGATCCAAAACTTAGAACATAAGAACGAGCAACAAAACGAGAGGAACCGGAACTTAGAAAATCAGAATCAGCAACAAAACGAGAGGATCGACACCTTAATCGATCATAACCTCAAACTGCACGGAAGGATCCAAACCTTAAACAATCAGAACCAGGAACTGCATAAGTGGACCCGAAACACTGAAAATCAGAACCAGCAACTAAACGAGAAGATCCACTGCTTAAAAGATTCTACACTCGACCTGCACCAGAGCATCCATGACTTAGACCTTGAGAACCGAAACTTAGAAAATCTGAACCAGCAACAAAACGAGACGATCCAAATCTTAGAAAATCAGACCCAGCAACAAAACGAGAGGATCGGCACCTTAATAGATTGTAAATTTGAACTGGGCCAGAGGATCCAAAACTTAAACAATCAGAACAAAGATCTGTGCGAAAGGATCGAAATGTCCTCGGTTAAGAACCAGAAGCTACAGGAGGTGAACCGAAGCCTTTTACACATCATCGACTTACACTTCGAAGAACAGACCGACAGGATCTGCTTGCAGCAGGAGTCGCTGGAGAAAGTTCAGATGAGGTGTGATGAAGCAGAAGGTGAAGTCAGCCCACACCTACGAGATCTGAAGGAGGAAGGTCAACAACATGCTCAGCTGAAAGACTCCCATTCAGAGCTCCTCAAAGCTGCCACCGAGCTCAACCAAGAGAAGGTGAATTTGAAGGAGGAGCTCGAAACGTTGAGGACAGGAGTCGGTTCCTCAGGCCCTCGGGAATTTTTATTTAAATCTTATAAGAAGAGCATGTCTGAAGATCTGAAAAGTGTGGAGAACAGGTTATCGGAGGAGTGTAGAGAGACAGAGAGACAACAACAGAGGAACACAGAACTGTCGGAGGAGATGGAGATTCTCTGTGATGAACATGAAAAGATCAAACAGGAGAAAA